ATGAAACTTGCGATCTTCAAAATTTACGGCTACTTCCAACCTCGCGCTTTACTTCGTCATCAACGACATTTATGATACATTAATGAATGCTCCGTTCCATCGTGCACATTTGTTTCATGTCCCATCTAATTAATACGCGACATCGCTGCGGCGTTTCTGTCTTTCGCGGTCGGTGGATCGGGCTTTGAGGTGGCTTTCGTTGTCGGTATAAAGCGAGCATTATGCCCGGAACCATCTGGCATCGAGAAGGCGAAAGAGCCGGCGTGGAATATTTATCAACAACCCGGAAAGAGCGACTCACGGAGAGGTATCTCCCCACCGGAGAAATGTCGCTATAAATCACCGGCTCGCTTTTCAAAGCCGATCATGTTTTATAAACGAAGGCGGATTAGTCGTATTAACACGTCCGGAGATACGCGGGAATGCCAATGAATTAAATAAGATGATATGGCCTGTTCTCCACCCCCGCGCGCGCGCCCTGATTGATGCCCTCCGAAGCAGATCTATTATTACTGCCTGACCTGTTCAAGAACGAGGATTAAACCCCTCAACTCTCCTACCGACAAATTGCACTGTCATCCAACCGGGAATGGGAACGCAGGACTCGTCTATAGACCCCCAGGCGAGTAATTCTTGCCTGCATTTTGTTGCCTCGTAAATGCAAGTTACGTTATCCCCTTTCACAATCGATCCTTATTATTTATTGGCTAATCTTGGAGAAGTTCTTGTAAAGCAATCTGTTTTATTATTTTTGTTATATTTTTAACGATCCACTATCATCAACACGGACACGAGGGTCGTTTTGCTTCTATCATCTACAAATCAGTTATCTCTATTCTCTCTTCATCAACTGGTTAACCAGTTTGCAAAGTTTATTATTTCCATCAAGATTTTTCTAAGATCTTTTTGTTCCGTAACACAATGCCTTCATTCGTATCTAACATTCAGGATATCTAATTCCGACGGTGCTAGAACGGTCCTCCTTCACGCCTGACGTTTTTCCGTCGCGGCAGATAAGCTTCGGTAAATCACGTTTGCACCGGTACGCAGCTCAATGCACCCCGTCCGGGCGAATGCATCTTCACAGGACAAAGGGATTACGTGCTTTCCTTATCACGATCTCGAGCGGGCAAGTGGGCACGTTCTATCACTCTCTCTCGCGCGCACGAGGCTCTGCTTTGTGCGTCGCGTCCGCGGAAGCATCCGTTCCTGAATTTATATCGCGGCCGACCCCCCGAAGGATTTCTCCTACCACGAGCACCGTATCTCGCACGGACACAAAAGGGGGTCGTCGACCCGGATGAAACTAAACTCCGGACAATTAGGTCTGTTTTTTTATTCCTGCACTGAAGAAAAATTTACTAAATCTTAATATTTCTTTGAATAGTAGGTACTAAATATTTACTTACTAAATGTTTACTAGTAAACATTTACTTATTAAAAAATGATAGTTTAAATCAAATTAATGATTTTTGTATCAAATAAGTTTATGTTTAGTAAATATTTATCTTAGAATTTTATATATATATATATATTCAAACAAATAATTATTAAAATTTATTTTTATTAGTAATTTATTTTTCAACTAGACTGCACCAGAACATTCTTTCTCGTTTTCAGCAAATATCTATTTCGCTTTAAATTCTAAAAGATACTCAGTTTAGCTCAGAAAACAGACCTTATAATGTTCGCCGTGTTCGGATGCGTGCTTCTCAAAAAACGTAGGTCGAGTGATCGCGTTGGGGACGATTTGCGCGCGCGAATTCTCGCTTCTATTCATAAGCCAATCTGAAATGCAACGGATCATACATATTACATGGTGCACGCAGGATGCAGCGGCGAGCGGCGCATAAAAATTTACCGGCCGTTCGCAGATACGACGACAATTTTACATAATCCAGTGTATCTCCCGTTTTTTTTATTAAGCTGCGAAACAATTTAATTATCGCGTCGACCGTTCGATCCCCCCTCCCCCCCGTTTCTACTGGTTCTTTTTCCCAACCTGACGAGTGTCACGAAGACTCGAGCCGACGGAAATCGAATTTCCGTTTCTATTTAGTGATCGTCGTACGATATTTCGTGCTCACGCCAAGAGTCAAGCTGCTTCTTTTTGGGATTGTATCACATGCAGAACGCGTACATGATACATTTCTGGAATTAGTTGGAGAATATAGAAAACTCATGTTCATACAAAGAATGAGCTTAACTCTTGTGTAACCATGACTAATAGAAAAATTTAAAAAATCAGACTGTTTGTCTTTTTTTTACGAATAATTCAGACAAAATTTCACAAAATCGGATACATTTGAATTTTACATAAATAAATAATTTAATATGATTGAATGCTCGAATAATTAAGCCCAAATATATAATTGAGTAATAACGAATTCGGTTAATATACACTAGTGCGCACTAGTGCTTAATTAAAACCATTGTACACCGATTTAATTGTGTAAAAGTAAAATACAAATATTTCAAATTATAAAATATCGTTTTTATTTAATAGCAATAAAATGTATTGTGGATTTTATAGTTTAATTTGTTTTTGTATTTATATTAAACACTTTACACCCATTTGTATGTTTTTTTATGACTTTAATATGCACCAGTACATCCAATCGAATTCGCTAGTTAACGATTCAAATATTGAAAGAGCAGACTGTTACGCTTATTATCATAGGTATTTAAGTATATCATAAAATATTCTACATATAATCGCTATGACGTGATCACGCACGCGAGACCTCGTAGCCGGAGATTGTACTCACTCGACGGGAGACTGACAATCTCGTTCGAACCTTATTCAGACATTTCAGACGTCCCAGGCTCCTCGATTCTCTGTGATCGTATGACTAATCGCGAGCACACGGAATAATACGTTGGCGCGTCTCGCGTATTTAGACTGCATTTGAGCAGCGCGACGAACCGCATTTTTCCCGAATAAACGGCGTGAATCACTAAATGCGATTCCACTAGTTGCGTGTTTTCGTCTAGTCGTATGAGAGATGTGCCGCGCAGAGAAGTCGCGGGGAAGTTACATTGGCAGCGAGCCACGTCGTGTCATCGCTCGTGCAACGCAAATTCGAGATTTCCTCGGCTGGCAGGTAAACACGCGCCCGCTGCTAAATGCTCTCAATTATCGACCATCTTGAAATAAAATGTGTTGCGACCCGTCCGCACCCCGGCGCGATACTTAACACCTTCTTTGACCGCGTCGCCGCCGGAGACTCCAACGATTATAGCTCATCTCTGGAGGACGCGCAACTTCGTCATAATATCCGGCACGATATATATGTTCCATTCACATTTCTCTTCGTAAAAGTTATTCATTTAGTTCACAGTACAAACAAAAATTAGCAAAGAAAAATTAATTTAGTCATAAGAAGTTTAAGTATTATATAATGACTTATTATAAATCACTATTTTAAGAATAATGTTTTATTAATATACGACAAAGTGCTAATCTTCAAGTACTTCTTGTTATTTATGTTATTCTCACGCTTAAGGATTAAGGATTAAATTAGAGAGTGCTAATTGCGTTGTAAATCAGTGCCAACCGAACATGTTGCAACTCTGTTTCTCTCTAATCTATGCTACACTCTGCTTCGTGTTACAATGTCTAGTTAGTCTAATTCCAAAGTGATTCGTTTCTCGTGTTTGACAAATTCGTAAATCGCTATGTAATTATTTTATATTAATCTTCATTTGCGTAAATCTTAATTCTATGTTGAAGATCAATAAGATTAGATGATTACATGAGAATAAACGATACAACGATATTTTATGCATAATGTCGTCTAATACATTTAATTATGTCAATATAAAATATTATAAAATCTAATCTATTTGAACTTTAAATTTATAAATTCCAATATATTTGATTTTCAATATTTAATCAATTTAATTAATTCAATCGCGATTTAGTAATTAAATATGAACTTAATCATAATTAGGCAAGTTACAGAAATATTACTGACTCTAAGCTTTAAATTCCGATTGTTCTGCATGAGACGCCTGTTGAAGCGAACTATAATGCTCCGAATGAAAAATAATATGGCAAAAAATCGACTTCTTTACCGAGAAAATTCGTTAGGATGCATTTGTTAGGATGTAATATTCGTGAATGGACTGAAATGTAGTTTTGCCATTTATCTCTTGTCGCTCCTTGACCTCTCGGTTCAACCTACGCCACGCGAACTTTTTGTTTGGATGCGTTGCGAGAATAGTGTGAGAACGGTTGAACTTATACCAAATACCTCGCATATGTTGTTGTTGCGCCAATGGAGGTGCCCTGGAGAACGCACCAAGTAAACTTCGTTTCGATTTGCTGCGCATGATATACGATGTGCATCGATCATGTGCTCGAAATAGGTTAGCGGAAATACGAGGTGCTTCAGAACTATCGCCGCTTCCCCTTAACGACAGGTTTCAGGAATGGACTGAAAAGAATGGCGATTGCTTTAATGTTGAGTTATTGATCGTTTTCAAAGCGACTAATTGAAGCGTTTTAGAATAAAGCGAGAGATCAAATAATTTTTACCTAAAATTGTTCAGAAACGTCGAGGCTGCAAAAAAGGAAGCTTTTGTAAAACGTTTGTAAAAGTTTGAATCTATTGTAAATTAATTAACTGTAATTAAATTTATCATAAATATAATTGCATTGAAAAACATTTTTGCGTCTAATATTAATTTTTCTTCATTTTGTAATAGAAATTTGACATAAAAAAATACATACTACATTGTCGGAATATTTTGTTTATATGATTTTTTTTAAAGATCGATAGTACATTGCCTATAATTTTTTTCCTCTTAATTGCTTAATTTAGAACTCGAGATGCGTTTAATTAAAGATTAACATCCTTATTTCTCGACTTTTAAGCTCCCTTTGGAGAAACCGAAGGACGATGCACACCATAGCCTAAATCAACATAGTGTGAAAATGTTCTCCTAAAATATCCCCGCACACATCTGTTAAAGTGCATTGCTCTTTTCTGTTGCAGGAAGTGTTGCACACGATCAGTGCGCCCAGCGGGCAGGTTCAGCGCATCGTAATCTTTAAGAAAAACGGCGTGCAAGCTATGGTTGAATATCCTTTTCAATACATATTTTACTATAGTAGTGCTTTTTATTAGATCTGTTCGCGTTGCTTATATTTTTTGCACTTATTATCTTTCTCTTCAACGCTCGAATACATATATCTCGTTTTTAGTGCAAAAATTTTGGGGAATTTAAAACAACGGGAACAAATCTATTGCTCGCCTACAGTTTCGTTGATTTGCGTTAACGATTCTCAGAAGACGCTATATGACTCTCAGCTATGTAAATTAACACTTTAAATTCAGTTGTATTCGCACAGTAAATTACCGTGAAGCGTACCGCTAATGTTCTGTTTGCCAAGCATAATACTATTTTACGACCGCAGATGTTACATGTTGTATATAAAGAGTTAACAAAGAGCCATTATTACTCCCTGATGTTTAGCTCGCTGGAAATTTTTAATTTTCAAAATTGATTAAACATCTCCGTCATCTTATATTTTACTGGAAATTCCATTAAAAATACAATTTAAAATTTATTGAGGAATTTGCCATTGTAATTTTGACAAGTAAATGTACAAAAAGTTTGAAATTTAAAAATGCATAAAATAATTCAAACAACGCCGCCGGGAAACAATTTATTTTACACAAATAAACCGTCGCATTTTCGCATGAATTTGATTTACATGGTAAACTTTAGGGCAGTAGCGCGCGTTGAACACGCGAGTCAAGGGTCACCTTCGGCGAACTCGAAGCCCGCGGGATCAACTCTCCATCTGACACGCTTTCTCAAGTCGGAAAAACTTTGTCAAGACATGCACTGCCGTTACGGCGTAATGAAGATTTATAACGGGGATGTGAACTGATGGAAAGGCTCGATTTTTTTCAACGTGAACTCTTTCATATACTCTGCATACGAATACGTTCAACAAGCTTTGAGCTTTACCTCGGGAGTAGCGTGCCGTATTTTCGGTGAATCTCCGCATAGTGGAGTGTATATTCCGGACTATTACGATCCAAATAATAGTCAAGCCGCGTCCCGCGTGACTATAAATTCGTTAGAACTTCACGTCATGTCGGATTTACACTGCACGACGGCCACTTTGTGGGAAAACAACATTGTAATGCCGCAGTGAATTCCGTGAGATTTCTGTATCGTCGGAACGCTACATTTTATCGCGTTTGCCGTAAAACTTGGTGAACGTTATAATTCATGTAATTTTGTTTGTATGGTAATTTTACGTTGCATCTTTATGATCTTTTTTATTTGTAATAGTATAAAAGAGATACGAAGGTTTAAATAAGGCGAAGTAATTTAATTGTTATTTCATGGAAAGAACGATTTTGCTGACGTATCTAAAAATTTAGGTCGTTATTGATCTGAAAATAATTTTGTTGGTTCATAATTGGAGAATAATTATATAGAGAATAATTATCTAAATCTGAATCAGTGGATATCAATCTCAACTATGCCACTGGATAATCAGTAAATTCGCAATAAGATTTAATTTAAAAAATCACTGAAACGTGGAATTCCTAATCTAATTTTATTTTAGTGTATAAATTTAACATATATGTTATTGGAATGTGCAAATATTGATATTTTAATTATATAATACTCAAACTCTCTTTCTTTTTCACTTGAATTTCACTGATTCAGATTTAAAGTACCAAACTTCACGTATAATTATTGCCGGACTATTTGGTACACTAACTAATTTTGAAATTTGTATACATATATTTTTTGTGCACGAATTACTATATATCCTTAACTGATCGTTCCGATCATTACGTTTGACTCGGTGGAATCGGCAACCAGAGCAAAGGAAACACTACATGGGGCAGACATATATTCTGGCTGCTGCACACTAAAAATAGACTTCGCAAAGGTGAGTACATCAGCAATTATCTTCCGTAATTGTCTTCTTTTAAAAGAAAATTTATGCGAATTTAGATATGCAAATGTTACGCAACGGTAAGGCGAATCGCATTCGCCGACCTTAAAAAGCAATGGAAAAAGTACCGTTTTAAAAATTCTGTCGTCCAGAGCATTTTACATAATGCCACTCGTGCTAATGTGGAAGTTCGGAAAATCTATTTGCATCATCCATTTTACGCGTCTCGTTATCAATTCTAATTAGCAATACCATGAATGCTGTTGCTTGTAATATAAATTTTATATAATATTTGCAGTTTATTAGTGATGTTTAATATAAGTACACCATTATATTGATAAAGTCGATTTAATTGCACTCACGATATATCTAATGAAAAATTCCATATAATTGCAAGAGATATAAATTATATTAAATTATACAAATTTAGAGCTATCGTATTTTTTTCGGCCATAAATTATGTTGCGAAAGGAAAAACCTAAACCTTTTCTTCCGGTATTAAATTTAAAATAAAATCTGATTATATAGAATTGCTAAAATAATATAGGACGTGACCCAAAAAGATTTAATTTGAAAGTTAATTATCAAGATGTTTCGATATTTCATTAAATATTAAAGAGCTGTTCTTGTTAATGGCTTTCCATCGAATTTCCGTTTAATAATAATACATTTCGAATATGTCAAAGGGGATATTAACAAGGAAATATTGATCACTCTGTACAAAATATTTTACGAGAAAATTCAATCTGTTTAAAAGAAAAAATTTTCTTATTTATACAGTTGCAACTTAATACAGAAGGTTTTTGCAAAATTTACCTACGATATCATATCCATCATACTAACCGAGCGAATCTTTTATGTGACAAGCGAAGCGTATATCTTTTGTGCATGATATTATAATGCTGATATAATAGCAGGACTTGTTTCTATAATTACGCAGCTCCTGTCCTGATTGAATCTAATTCAGCAGAAACTTACATAGTCGATTTAAGTAACTTATCGTAATCAATGCACCCGACGCTGTCGTAAATCTTGTAATTTAACGCTTGTAACGAATAAGCGCGACACAAGATGGATTAACCGGTTTTTATCTACCTACCTACCTACCGCGCGCATTAGCGTGACACGGCAAACAGCTGCACTCTTTCACGCCCCTGTCGTGACTTTCACGCGAGAAGAATTAAGCTTCGTTCATACACAATACTGCTATTGAACGAACAAATGTTTGTTGCTAAAGTACCGCAAAGAGAATTGTCTCGAGTAATTTTTCAAAGGTGTATATAAAAATTATACCGCCGACTTTGATCAATGTATCGCCTTTATTTTTTCGATTCGTAATCGAACTTTTTGTGAGAAAAGAGCGTATGCTGTTTAAAACAGCTCCTATTTTATTTTGCTCCCGTTAGTCGCCGTCAGAAATTATTGGTGTTAGCCCCAAAAAGAGTCATAATTTATTTTTGTTTTTATGATCGCGATGTCGGCTCGCGATAGAGACGTTGAAAGGAATATCCGGTACATTAGGCCGATGATTATAGGAGGGAAAAAGTGGCTCGTGCCACACAAAAGCATGTCTCTTTGACGAGAGCATGCATTATTCATTGTGCCTCAGAAAAACGTACGAGGAATGAGCAATCGAATATTAACGAAGCGTATAGTAGAATGAAATTATTCATTAATGAAGACGTGAGCCATGCGTCACCTTAGATTGCATCGGATATAATTGTTTTTCTACAAGTCTCAATAGTCCGGTGTAATTATTATGTGAAGATTGGTGCAAAAAATATTTTATCATTCATCGCATGATAATTATAGCCAAAAATTATTGAGATTTATAGAGGATGGGCCGATAAAATATTTGCTTCGACAGAAAGAAAAGAATTCGTTAGAAAATTATATAAGAATATTTACAAATTATTGTACATTCGCTTCCTGGCAAGAAGAATTCGATCAGTATAGAACCTATCTTTTTGCTTGGCAGAAATGTACCTTCGTGTCACTTTCTTCATCATCTTTTTACGATCAACTTCACGGCCTTTTTATTGCTAATTCCCTTTGGAATATCGGTCTAGGTTTTTCTTGCATAACGAAATCCAATCATAGAATAGCGAAAATAATGATAACGACAATGGTCGGCGATAACATTATTTTCTCGCTCGAACAGGTAACTCGAAATTACTTCAACTTACTATTATCCTTCCCGATCGCTTTCTTGCTACCGACCGTGCGGGTCATATTGGAAAATGTTAGATATTTATTGGCTAAGTCAACTGTATTTTTCGTTCAAATATTGTGCACAGCTGCTTCTTCTGCAACTGAGTACATACTTGAAATTGTGAAATACAAGTTAATCGACTGTTCGTTTTGATTTTTTTGTAACGAATCTTTATTTATTTTTAGAAATGTTAAACGTAATCACTTAATATACAATATAAAAACTTAACTGGCTACAATTAGATTTACAAAGCTTTTGCTGAAAAGAGAGTCACGATAAGTACATCACGAGACGTTAAAGATTAAAACAGCATTAATAATTAATAATAATAATTTTATTACATGCACTTAGAAATATAATTATTATACATTAAATCTGTAATATATAGAACTAAGATACTATGTTTTCTGACTAAAAGAAAAGAGAAATTTTAAGAGAACGATCTACATTTAATAAAGTCAGAGACAGCTTGTACAATCTGAATACAAAGTTTCAGTTTGTATTCAGAAGAGCATAGAAATGTCGGCAAAAATTTGGGATAGAAATATGCACATACCAGAGAAGCTCTAAAGATGCTCGCGCACACTAGAGCGAAAATAGAATCAAAGGCAGAACCTGAAGCTCAAAATTGGATTTCGAGGCGGGGCCTGTGACAGGAGTTTACTCACCCCTTATCTCCTTATTGCCAATAGAACAGCCTGCCAAATAGCGGTCGTGCTTGTTGAAAAGCGCGCGTCGGCTGTAATACTGTATCGCCACGCATGAGCCACATGAATCATTCGATGAATCTTACGCGCGTATATTTGCGCGCGAGGATAAAATATCGCAGACGTATTGGATACATCGGAGGAATATTTGATCAAGTCCCTGCATCCCATGCTGTAAATCCCTTCGGATACATCCTCCCTCGAGCGTCCCTTTCGATGCGTCCGCGTTCTCTATCACAAGTTCTTTTTTTCGTAAGAACAAACGTGGACGGAATGACAATGTCGTATCGATTACGACACGGTCTTGCAGAGATTGCTTAGCGCAGAAGCGGACTTCCGTACGGAGATCTTCCTTGTTTCTATAATATGTTCTCTTAAGTCTGCGAGTAACATTCGCTTTTAGACATATAAAAAGTAGCGCGTGTTCCATTGTGTACTCTTCCACAAATTCTTTTTCTTTTTTTTAAATAACTTGATAGCACAACTTTGTTACTCTTGTATAATCACAGAACATTATGTACCAACTTGTACTATGCACTTTTTCTCGCTTTTGAAATTTCTTTTTAATGTGAGCTGTTTTTAATTTTTCTTTCTTTTCGGAATTTGTTGCTCTCGCTTGAGGATGTTATTAGTGATCCCGAAACATTTGCGGAATTAGCACTTCCACATCCATTGTTCCATTGTTCCTAAGTTTTTCTTTCTCTTTTCTTCCTGAAATTTCTCCTCGAATTCGGTATTGCTAGCGCTGCAGCTCGCAATGTGTAAAACGTGCTTCCTTTTACTCAGTAATGCCTACGTTATCTTCATTTCTTGAGAGTGCAATATTCAAAGTTTCATTATTAAACTTTCGTTGGCTACGGATCGGCGAAGAAACGAGATTGTTTGTTGAAGTTGAAAAAGTCGATAAAGTCATTCATTATTTAGACGGTAAAAACCGGTTGCGACGTATAATCAATTCAACTGTCGTTTTTAGTCGGAGCGTGAAGTCAAATTACTTTAAATGTCATACCACTGTTATCGCGAGGTTTCTACGTCGACTTTACTTCCGGAACTTGAAACCAAATTAATTCCCCTTCGTCGCCATATCATAATTCTCGGAGTGACGATAAGACGTGCCTAGCAAAATCGCCACGGCGAATGATCCTCATTCGGCGAATATCATAAAGAAGATTGACAAAGTAAGCTCTCAATGTGCTTACCGCCCTCGAAAGCGCGCGAATTTATCGAACGGAAAGTATCGCCAGGAATTGTAAGTATTTACTCGCCGTTGGAGCGACATTAACGACTCTGGCGGTGCGAACACGCACGTCCAATGTGTTTTACAGCTCTCTAAAATCCAAAAAGGAGGAGTAGAAGAGGCGACAAGTGCAAAAAAGTCAACGAGAAGTGCCAAGCTCATATAGGATGTCTCGGGACGACTGCCAGCCCTTAATTCAAGATTTCTTAATCGAGCCGAAGTCAGCTTTACATTAACGATAATTTGATCGAATGCCAAAATGCTTTTTTTTGTTCGTAGCTTTTTATCTTTGACATTAACTATCTAAATGTTTAAAATTTAATTACATTTTTCAAATTTTCGTTAAAAATAAAAACGCGCCTGAAAGTATAAGGAAATTTTAATTTCAAAGTGTATTTTCCATGCATATCGTAGTGCTGTATGCGAGAGAGAATAATGTTCCTCTTGATTACATCACACGAATTCTATTTTTCACTTATTCGGTTTGCATGACGATGCGATTCCCGGTTCGCGCAAATGGAAGAATGCAAATTTCGCAATTACTCATGGGATATTATCCCGCGTCGGGTACTTCTTTCTGTATGAAGAAAATAACAGGGCATATCACGCCTCGTAGAAAACGACGTTACAAAGGCATAATGACACGCATAAAAAACAATTACCTGCACGATTGCTGCTTAAAAGTGGGCGGGATTTGAAAAAACGTAATTTTCGGCGCCTTTGTGAATCACAAATGGAATCACCGTTGTGGTTCCGTATTAAGGTATGCCGTTGCGATTCTGAAATTACATTTTCGTGAGTGGATGTGCCGCCGCATTCCATTCGCATCGCGAATTAT